ACCAGTTATTTATGATAATAGAGATAAGTAGGATCAGACTGTGGCAGTGTTTGAATGCCATATTACTACCTGGACTTCATTCTCTACTCTGTGGGGAATCACCAAAAGTCTATGAGCACGAGTGTGACATGTCCAGAAGAGTGCTTTAAAAAAATAATCATCTTTTATAGAATGGATTGGTGAAGGAAAAACTCGAGGCAAAAGCACTAGTTAGAAACCTATGGTAGTAGTTCAAGGGAAAGGTAATGAGACCTGGAGTGGAAATAAATAGGAAGATATATATTTGAGAACCAGTATGAAGATAAGATCACCATGAATTTGGTTTTTAAAAATGTAGGGCCCAAAAGAGAGACAAAAATACTGAGCCCAAGTGTCTGGGAAGATCTTGATGTAACTAACAGAGGAAAATCACAAAAGGGAAGAAGGCAGGTTTCAGAGAAGATGGCAAGTTTCTTTTGGACATCCTTAGGTATTACACCAGTGAGTCCCAGCTTTTCCACAGCAGTAGCTGCAGCTCTGAGACTAAGATTCCTTTCCCCCTACTCTTGGGACAACTTGTTCTTCTGGAAAGAAGGGACTACAATTGGGTTTTAAACTAGCTTATATTATTAAAGCCAATTTCTCACACCTGTCACGAAAAGAAAGTAGTGTCTGCTGTCTGACAAAAATAGTAGCATTTGGACACGTAATCCCCTGACTGTACAAACTGAACCAAAGGTCCTATGTTGGCTTAGGACACCAAGTCATGAAGGAGAAACTATCTTACAATCGTCACCTTCTTGGGATAAGCTTGTACATTACAAGACATAATAATCCTGTGATCCTTTCCATGACTATCCATCGCGTTTCTGCATCATTTTTCATGAAAACAAACTAGTTGAGCAAGCATAAACTGGGGGGAGGGGGGTATCTAGAACTAGTACGTTCTGACCCCAAACATCACACTACAACTACTGGAATGAGCTGATTTGCAGAGTTTCATCCTCCCCCTACACAACTGTGTGCCGAAGTAAAACTACATTTCCCGGCGACCTCTGCACCGTAAGACGCGAGAGAGGGCGGGAAATGGGGGGAGGGGACGCCTCTTGTAAATAGCCTTTTTATTGGTGCGCAGTCCAAAGGGCCTTGTAAACTTGTGGACGATTGGACAAATTTGTGCACGCTCAGTGGCGCCGCGACGCTCCCTGATTTAACTTTTGTTTTTCGGTTGGATTCTCTGACTCTGTGACTTTAGTGTGGCGTGAGTATAAAGTTTCGGGTTTTGGGTGAGAGGGCTAGGCAAAGGTGTTTGGGAAGGAAAAACCTGATGAGGGAGAAGTGTGGAGGCAGTACGGAAGAAAGGGATGTGAGCCTGAAATATGGGGGTCGTTAGGAGGGCTGGGGACCGGAAGAAGAAAGTTAGAATCTGCAAAGACAAAGATTCAGGGGGTGCTGGAGGATTGGGGAGTTTTAGCAATGAGGTTTTCAAGAACGGCATGAAATGGGAAAAGGAATACAAAATTTGGACATCCTGGTATTCCTCCCCCCACGCTAATTAAGCCTCAATTTATGTCAGTTATTAAGGAGAAGGAATTTATGTCAGTCAGGAAGGAGAAGGAGTGAGGACAGTCTAATTCTGAGGGAGAAGATGGGTTGCAGGTTGTTAGAAGCCTGTTTCATTAAAGTTCCAAGTTATTCGCAAATAGTTTTAGAACAGTGATGTTTAAAATGTCTCCCGTATTCGTAAAATGAAATGTCATTTGTCCATAAAAAGGAATGAAGTATAATACAGGCTACAGCATGGATGAACCTTGAAAACATGCTGAGTGCAAGGAGACAGTCACAAAAGACCACATACTGTATGATTGCATTCATATGAAAGTCCAGAATAGGGAGATCTATAGAAACAAAGTAGATTAGTAGTGGCTCAGGTCTGGGGTGGGGTGAAGCATAGGGGTGATATCTAAAGAATATAGGATTTCTTCTTGAAGTGATAAAAATGGTGTACAGTTGACTGTGGTAATGATTGGACCTGTCTGTGAAGATACTAAAAATCTATGACTCTACACTTTAAATGAGTGAATTGTATGGAATGTGAATTGTATCTAAATAAAACTTTTTAAAAACGTCACCCATAATCTTACCATATCAACCCAGCTACCATTTTTATTTTCTAGGTTATTTTTCATGAGAGGCAAATTGGCCCAATTTGGAGGTTTTGTAGAAGGTGAATTGAAGGAGGCAAGTAGGCATTTTAAATGAGAGAATAAGAAAAGCTGGCATATTTAAGGGTCGGCTGGTAAGAGAAGGCAAATGGAATGACAGAAGCAGAAACATTTTCTAACGAGATTGGATAGAATGACCAGTAGAAGAAAAAGATGTTGAACAGAATCAAATTCATGTTGAGGATTTAAATTTGTTTTTATTGTAAAAGTATTGAGTACCTACTGTGAAGCAGGCACTATTTTAGTTACTGGAGACATAGCAGTGCACACAAGAGATAAGAAATGCCTGCCCTTAGTAAGTTTCCACATCCAGTGTGGAGAGTTGGTAAATACATACAACATGTCAGATGGTGGTAAGTGTGAGGAAAGGAAACCAAAGATGGGTAAGGCAATGCCTAAGTGGCAGGGAGGAATCACCAAGGCGGCATTGGAGTTCTGGAGGAGAGGGAGCAAACCATCTATATAGATAAATGGGCAAGCACATTGTAGGCGGGGAACTGCAAGCGCAGTGGCTCTGATGTAGAAATTTGCCTGGCCTATGAAGAACAGCAGAGAGTCCTGTGTTGGAGCAGTGAGCAAGGAGGGAGGAGTAGATGAGGTCACAGAAGTCATGGGGCAGCTGGACCACTAGGACCTTGCAGGCCATTTCAAAGACCTTGGCTCTCTGAGTAAAAAAGTTTTTGGAGGCTTTTGAGCAGAGGAGTTTTGTGTTTTGGCTTATATTTTAAATAACCACTTTAACTGCTGTGTTGAGAAGAGACTGCAGGGGTTGGAGTTGAGAGTAGAAGCAGAGAGACCAGTTAGGAGGCTATTGTAGTCACCCCGGCAAGAGATTATAGTGGGTTGGAACAGGGCGGTATTGGCATGTGTGGTGGTCAGATTCTATTCTGGTGGTAGAGCCAGTAGGATTTGCTAGTGAACTGAATGTAGCATATAAGACAGAGGAGTAAAATTTCTCCAAGAAAGTTTTTTGTCTTAAAGAGTTGGCAAGATAGGGTTAGTAATTACTGGATGTAGAATTCTGAGAGGTCAGGTTTGGTCGTGGGAGGTATATATCAGGAGCTCAGTTTTGGACTTGTTAAGCTCAGGACACCTGTTAGACGTTCACGTGGAGATGTGGAGTAGGGAGTCAGGTATGTGTGAGGCTGGAGTGGAGGGCTGAGGAGGACTAGAGATATATGCTTGAAAACCGTACATGTTATTTAACATGTGAGACTTCATGAGGTCACCAAGGAAGTAAGTGTAGATAAAGACAAGGAAGAACTAGCAGTGACTGAGAATTAATGACCAGTGAGTGAGGAAGGAGGAAAAGCAGGAACATGTGTCCTGGAAGCCAAGTGAAGAAAGCTTTTGAGGAAAAGGAGAGGCACTTGAGTTCCTAGCAGAAAAATGATTATAGAATTAACAATAGTGATTATCTCTTTTTACTCTTTTTCACAAAATTCTTCCCCAAAGGACTGAAGATTGTAAGCAGATATATACCATGTAGAAGAACACAAGAACAGCATTACATCATCTCTTGACTTGCCCAAAATCAGAAATGGGTTGACAATGAATCTTGATAAAGAAAAAAAAGCTTTCCCCAAAGCTGATAAGATAAATCCCTTTCCCCTTCTTCTCTTCTCCCTCTTCCCCCTTTTCCCCTTCTTCCCTCACTTAATTTGGTATTCCCTCCCTGAGGTTTAATCTTTCTGAAAATCTCTGATAAGATTGTTGAAAGTGGAGGGACTCAAGATCTTATCAGTTGTAATGCAGATTATGAGTGTAACTTAAAGCTTATAAGTAATTTTTTTCTTTCTCTAAAATGAAATAATAGTTCACCAAATAAAGATAATATCAATGACTTTGTATGTTATTTTAAATTTAGCATAATGGGTCCTCTACCTTGATTTCCACTTACTGTCTCTTATTAGAAACTTTGTGCATCTCCCTCATAATTTCAGCAAAAGGATTATAAATTTGTTTTGCATTGTTGCAGATACTCTTCACACTAAGGAGGCATTTTTTTGTTTGTGCTTATCCATCAAATATTAAATGCCATTCTGATTTTTTTTGAAAATAATGAGAAAGAATACCTTATAAAAATTCAAAAGTTTGGCCAGCCGAGTGCTCAGTTGTTTAAGAGTTAGCTTAAGAGCCTGAGCTCTGAGCAACAGGGTCGCCGGTTCGCTTACCACATGGGACAGTGATGCTGTGCCTTAGCTGAGCTGCCAACAGGTGGCAGGATGGCTCAGTTGGTGAGAGCACGTGCTCCTAACAACAAGACTGCCTGTTCGATGGTGGGCTGTGGCCAACTGCAACTAAGACTGAACTCGGTACCTTGAGCTAAGCTGCCACCCAGATGGCTCAGTGGATAGAGCGTTGGCTCTTAACAGCAAGGCTGCTGGTTTGACTCCCACATGGGATGGTGGCTGCGTTCACCCATAACTAAGATTGAACACAGCACCTTGAGCTTAGAGGCCACGAGCTGCCAACAGGCAGCCAGATGGCAACTGGCGACCTCCACAACTAAGATTGAAGAACAACAGCTTGGCTGATCCCCTTCTCCAATTCCCCAACACTGTTCCCCTCTCCCAATAACCCAATTAAAAAAAAAATCAATTGAAGATTGCTTTAAAAAAAAATAATTCAAAAGTCATAGAACTTGAGGAATTCGAACTACATTTTAAAACACCCCTTTTTCACAGTAGGCATGTGTGATGTGATGTTGGAGAGGGAGCCAATCAGTGTGTTCTCTACTGTTTATTCTCTTCCTGACCTCTCATTCTGAATTTTTGTGTCTTTGACAGGTGTGGAAAAGACAGTATGAACTTTACCCCAACACATACTCCTGTCTGCAGAAAGTAAGACATTTGCTTCTTTTTTGAGTTAAAGAATCAAGACTTCTGTAGCCTTAGTACAAGTTAACATAGGAACTAGAAGGGTTTTGGAAACATGCTTTCAAACTCTGGGTTTGAACTATGTTAGACTGTTTTCTCTCCTTATTATGTGAAATTTAGATTAAAAACGAGGATATGCTAAATGTTAATACCAGAATTCAGGCAGCGTGAGCTGGCCTAGTGCCCAGTCAGCGCACCCTGGGTTGCAGAACAAACAACCAGCATACATGGGGGACTTTTATTTAATTTATTTATTTTTTAAGATTTTATTGGGGAATTGGAGGGGAACAGCATTGGGGAATCGGGGAAGGGGAACAGACAAGTTGCTGTCCTTTTGTTCTTCAATCTAGCTGTGGAGGACGTCGTTCCACTGGCCCATCTTGGTATAATCATTGCGCTCTTCCTGGGTGAGGCAGTCGCTCGCTGGCCTTTGGACAGCAACTCACGAAAGCACACGCCCGCTGCCAGCCAGCCCCACTGCAGCCTACACCATCACCAGCGACTCATGGCAGCCCAGCTCCAGTTCGAGCTGTTGTTCACTGTCTTAGCTGTAGAGGGCACAGCATCACTGGCCCTCATGTAGGATCCGAACCGGGGCCCTGCTGCTCAAAGCTGGCGTCCCAAGCCAACTCCTAACCAACACACCACTTGGCCGGCCCCACAGGGAACTTTTAACTTGGGTTCTGCCTTCACCTTGTGTATTACACATCTTCTTCATCCTCACTGCCACAACTCTCATCTGTAAAATCTCAGAAATACCTTAGTTTACCTACTAACCTAGTTCCCAGGGTTGTTGTCAGGCAACCCCCTTTGAAAACATGAAACATCACGTGAAATGGTGCTTTTGTCATGAGCTTATTAATGATTGGGAAAATACTAGATTTTTTTCCTTCACGCTAGCTGAAAGTACATTTTAGTATCTGTTCCACACATGCTCACTTAATCTGACCATAACCCTCATTAACTACAACTCTGGGCTTCTCATATTAACTTTCTCTATTCTGCTATTTTGTTACGTTGTGAATTGCAAGCAGTTAGCCAACATGGATTAATTTTCTCATGAGGGTTCCTTTATTTCTGAATCATTTATTTCTAACTTTCATTGTTTTAGCTTAAGTCTCTTGTTTACTAAAAGCAAAGAGAACAAAACTTTTTGTCTGGCTTTTGATTGGCCTTAGGTCTTGTCTAGCCTTGGTTTGTGTCATTCAGATGTCTCCAGTGCTGGAGATTAGGACCTGATGTGGTTGTGTGGTTTGTAACTAGGCTGTATTTTCTAATTGTGACTCTCCTATTTATCATTCCCTTCCTAATTTTGCCACTTGTATACCTATCCCTAAAAATAGTTTAATTTTGCAAGTTCCAATCTTAAATAAATGGTAATATCTTCTATATAAGCATACATACATTTTTCCATTTAGTATTGTTTGGATGATTCATTTGTATTTATACATGTATATCTAATTCACAGTTGCTGATAACTTTGAATAATATACCATTGTATAGACATACCACAGTTTATTATCCTATTGGAAGGTTTACTGTTTTTGTTATTACAAATAATGTTACTGGGCTGGCCGAGTGGCGCGTTAGTTAGGAGTTGGCTTGGGACGCCAGCTCTGAGCAGCAGGGCCCCGGTTCGGATCCCACATGAGGGCCAGTGACGCTGCGCCCTCTACAGCTAGGATGGTGAACAACAGCTTGACCTGGAGCTGGGTTGCCATGAGTCGCCGGCAATGATGTAGGCTGCAGTGAGGCTGGCCTGTAGCGGGTGTGAGCTTTCATGAGCTGCCATGAGCTGACGTCCAATGGCTGGCGAGTGACTGCCTCACCTGGGAAGAGTGCAGTGATCACAATACCAGCATGAGCCAGTGAAGCGACATCCTCCACAACTAGACTGAAGAACAAAAGGACAGCAACTTGTCTGTTCCCCTTCCCCGATTCCCCAATAAAATCTTAAAAAATAATAATAATAATAATGTTACTATCAACATTTTCTTATGTGTCACCTTTTATGTAGGTGCCTGAGTTTCTGTAGGACGAGGAATTGAACTTTTAGTAGCTTCTGCCAGTTTACTCTGTAGTTTCACCAAGTTACACTTCCCCAGCACTGTATAAGTATTCCTGTTGCTGCATGTCTTATGGTATTATTACATTTTCTGTTATGTCTTCTTACTTACTTTATATTCCGTTTTTGTTTTTTTTTAAGAAAATACATTTTATTGCAATTCCTTATGAAGTTAAAAACAGAGGCAGACCCTTCTGAATAAAGGATCATAAAACAACAAAGGGCCAATCCATTAAAAATCAAGTCATCTAAAACATTTAAAAATTTAAGATAACAAGCAGGATCTTCAGGGAGGATTCCAGCTTCTAACATGTAATCCTTCTACAGTCACAGGGGTTATATTAGCTTCTGAATTCTCAGTTAAAGGTGAGCTGTGTAGATTTTTTTTAAGTAGCAAAACTGGTTGTTGCTCAGGGGACAGCACAAGCCACAGGTATTGAAGCTGCAAGAGTTGAGAACATTGACATAAAGATGATTTCAGATACAAAAAGGAGACGGTTTCCTGGAAGGACCTCAGTCCTGATGTTACATTTACTGGGATGGTATCGAAACAAAATCCTTGATATACTGAGGACACTGATTTCCCAGAAACACTTCATTGGGGGCCATAGGTAGATCATTATTAAATGCAGTTGACTTGACTCTGGCCAGGAATAGAAAGGGGCTGCATCGTACATACACTGGTTGTTCTCCAGAGCAAGTCCAAATTAGAGAAAAAAGGAGGTGCAGGCCTCCTAACACCAGAAAAACCTTCATCTGGCTAGAGCCCAAGGCAACATCCATTCAGGGAACCTATATTCTGTTTTTTTAAACGTTTATTATACTCTGTGTATTTTTAATTCAGCTTTAAACCTCTAATACTTGGATAGCAGTTCATAAGATTCACTAACCTGTAGCATCAAACTTTCAAGGTTTATGAGCACCTTAATTATAAGCACTTTAAGAACATAAACCCCCTTTTTATTTAAGAACTTATAATGTCTTATAAATGTTTAGACAGTTTAATGAATACACATCCTTTCTAATTTCACGAAGGCCGACGACTGTCTCCAAACATGGTACTGCCTGTGGCTTCAGTGGTTCCAGCAGGTGGAAGGGAGTGTCTTTCTCAGACTCAGTGGAGTCAACCCCCTTGCCTTCCATTGAAGATCGCCTGGCCATCCTCTGCCCTTCTCAGGAGCTTCTGGAATATTATCAAAAGAAGATGGCTGAGTGTGAGGCAGAAAATGAAGACCTGCTGAAGAAACTGGAACTGTACAGAGAAACTTGTGAAAGACAGGTACGAAAGATGATACATGACCTTTTAGGATTCTCATTCCATTTATTAATTACCAGAGAAGACCTAGGAAGTACCAGTTTGTATCACAAGCAGATGTTTTATTTAAACAACATTCTTTTTTGATTCCAGCCTAGCTACCTACCCTTTGGGGCCCTCATTGGATCATAGTCCCCCCAAACTGCTCCACCTCTAAAATCTTAACTCGTACATCTCCATCTCGCTTACACTTCTGGTTCTTTCATCCCTTGCACCTGACTTCATTTAACTTCATTATTACCTCCATGGCTCCTTGACTTTGCAGTTTTCTGAGTGTTGCATGTCAGCTTCTGATGTTAGGCCCTTCCCTGCTAACCTGAACCCCGTCGTGTTTCACTTCAGGAATAACTGCTGTCTGCACATGGCCCTTCTTATTCCTGTGTTCCACTTTCATAGAAAAACTCTAGCTGGAACTGCATCCCAGTCCTCTGCAGCAGGGCTTCTCAACTTTGGCACTATTGACATTTTGGGGCTTGGCATTCTTTGTCATGGGGATTGTCCTCTGAATTGTAGGATGTTTAGCAGCCTCCTTGGCCTCTACTTACTAGATACCAGTAGTGTGCGCGCGCGCGCGCGCGCGCACGCACACACACACACACACACACACACACACACACACCAGACCATCAGACGTGCCTGTAGATGTTGCCAAATTTCTCCTGGGGTATAGGCAGAATGGCTCCTAGTTGAGAACCGCTGTCCTAGAAAGGTCACAAAACATGACAGAATAAATTCATGGTAAGTAAATTCATCTGTGTCCTCAGTCACTCCACAGCCTTTTCTTTAGCTGTCTAGTGGGTTCCTTCTCCCTCTGCATGTGCGCCATGCCTTCCCTGCTGTCCTCCAGCCTATAGCCCCTTCTTAGCCCTCTCAGCAGGCAGTCTTGCTTCCTGTGTCCCAGGGCAGGTACCAGCCATCATGCATGAACTCCTTCCTGCCCATCCACACACAGTTACCTACACCTTACCCATCTTTCTTTTTCTTACAGCTTCAAGCTGAATTGGTCCACCACTCTCCCTAGCCCCATCCCTTTTTCCTCCTAAGAAGCCCTTCATCATCTCTCTTCTTTTTATGTTCTATTTTTAACCTCTTGCTTGATATTGGCCTTTTCTCCTCAGTACTGTATATAAACATATTCAAGTCTTTCCCGACTTTTTAACAAACAACCACTCCCCGAGTTGTGCTTTCCCTCTCTACTCCCTTACATAGATGGCTCTTTCTTCTCCCAGCCCCACTTCTGGAATAGTTTGACTTTATCACCCACTCATGACGCTCTGGCTGCAGTTTGGTCTCGTCCTCACTGTTCCACAAAGCTGCTCCTCCGGTGGTCTCCAGTACCCATTTGCCAGAATGTTCTCTTCTCTTCGTGACCTCTGCAGTGTTTGTTGCTATTGACCTTTGCTTTCTGAAAGCTCTTCCTTTCTTGATTTCTGTGTCCTTTTTCTTTCCTAGTTTTTATCTCACCTCTCCGAGTAGTTCTCAGTCACCATTAACAGTTCCCCTTCCTCAGTCTTAAATGTCAAAGTTCTAGATTCCACCATAAATGATCTCATTTTTATCCATAGTACTCCATATGGGGTGATGACGTCCAGAATAACTGACATTGACTCACTTTCCCCCTGAGCTCCATGTTAATATGTGCATATGTGAACTACTCTCCCTTTTTCCACTCTGCCCACACATACACATAGACCACTGCCATTTTCCCTCCCTCCATTCCTTATTTCTTAACTTTCTCTTATTCTGTGTCTTAGTAAGTGGTATCATTGCCTACAATTCTGCTTAGCCCCTAGATTCAATCATGTGGTAAATACTGTTGATTCTGCTTCCTAAATATTCCTTAATCCATTCTAACATGTTCGTCATATTGCCTCAACATTAGTTCAGACTCTCTGTCTCACCTGAACCATTGTGATGTCCTCCTTAGTCAGCATCCCAGCCTCCAGTCGCACAGCTCTCCAGCCTGCCTCTCATTTCTCATTCCAGTAATACTGAATACTTGCAGCAGTCCAAACATTTAAGACTCTTCGTTGATTCTGTGTTACTGTTCTCTTTCCTGAGAGTGCCCACACTCTGCTTGGTGGTGTCTAACTTCTGACTCACTTCAGAGATTTTACTCCGGCCGTGCTTTCCCTCTGCCATCTTACCATGCATATTCCTCCACTGAGTAATTTTCATTTTTTGCATGTCTGTCTCCCCACAAAATTCCTCAGCTCCAGGCAGGAAACATACCTTTTCATCTTTATTTTTAAAAATTTCATAAGGCTTATTACACAGAAAGCATTTTTTTTTTAACTGTGAATAGAACAGTTGAATCATATGGCATTCTGGGTGCTGTAGTCTAAAAGGAAGATATGAGAGCTTTGTCGTTATATGCAAATATCACACTCACCCTCTAGCTTTAAACTCAAGTCTACACACAACTTGTTGTTATTTGAATTCTGTATTAGTGAGACGATTCATTTCGTAATATTTCTACACGAACCAGCTCTTCCATATCCAGTAAGACATATTCCCATGGAGTCCATTATCTTTTCAACTGCTTTTCTTTCAGCACAAACTAGAATGGGATTTGCAGCAGAGGGAGGAGGAGATTGCTGAGCTGCAGAAAGCTCTGAGTGATATGCAGGTCTGCCTCTTCCAGGAACGGGAGCATGTTCTGCGCCTCTATTCAGAAAATGACCGGCTGAGAATCAGGTACCAAGGAGGAGAAGCGAAATGCTGGAGTTATACTTCTAAGTTATACTCAACAAGATAAAGGGCTCGGTGGTAATTCCCAGGTTATATTCCTCAGGAAACAGACTGGGATAGTCATTTGCCTGTAGGATGGTTAGTAGGGAGGCCCTCAGGAATAGCATCTGTGAGCAGAGTTGGGCAGAGGGAGAATTTGAACTGTGACACATGATAACAGGCTTTCGCCAACCCTACAGGGAGCTCTGAGGCCAGGACATCCTTTCAGAGACCAACGAGTCAGACTTTTTACCTCCACAGTGATCTGTCATTGGATGTAGACTGCCACCAGGGAGAGGGTGTAAACTTGGGAGAGGCAGTCCTTGTCAGCCAAAGGCAAGTCCTGAGAAGAACTCAGCACCTGGGGGTAGGTGTCTTGGTCCTGAGGGTGGCATCTGAGCGGTGCTGCACAGCCTCCAGCACAGTGCACTTATTTTTAGTTCTGGTAAAATGTACTTAACATAAAATTTACCATTTTAATCATCTTTACGTGTATAGTTAGGTAGCATTAAGTACATTCACCTTTTTGTGTAGCCCTACCCCACTGTACATTTCCAGAACTTTCTCATCATCTCATACAGAAACTCTACCTATTAAACAATAACTTCCCTTCTCCTAGCCCTTAGTAATCACTATTCTGCTTTGTCGCTATGTGTTAGACTATTCTAGGAACCTCAGAAAAGTGGAGTCATACAGTATGTGGTCTTTGTGTCTGGCTTATTTAGCATAATGTTGTCAGGGTTCATCCACGTTGTGGCATATGTCAGAATTTCCTTTCTAAGGCTAAATAGTATTCCATTTATATACCGGAGTGCCCAAAAAATGTATACAAGTGGATACTTTGGTCAACGTTGCTCAGGCAGTAGTTAGCCATAATCAGAAGTGTCTGGACGCTGATGGTAACCACTTTGAGCACCTCTTGTAATTGCAGAAGTCAAACATGACTTGTATTCATCTTTTGTTA